CCTAGACAAAGTAATCATTATTACAGACTCACGCTCATCCTTACAGAATATCAATGAAAGGCTGTCCAATTCTAGACCACATCCATTTGTTTTGAAAATCATTAAACTCACCCTAAATCTTCTAGAGATAAATAGTTTGGTTCTCTTTTTGTGGGTACCTACTCATCGAGGAATAAAAGGTAATGAGGCTGCGGATAAATGGGCTAAATAATCCCTCTCGATGGAATATGGGAACTTTGCAACGATACCTGCATTGGATTTAATCCCTATTATAAAAAAGGACTTTGAGGACTGGAGGAAAATCCTCTGGCCTCACCTTGAAAACCAGTTGTCCACTAATAAATATTTTGAATGGGTAAATGTGAAAACGAAGCGTCCTTGGTTTCGGGGCATCAATGCACCACGACGTTATATTAATACTATAACTAGATTGAGAACAAATCACGTGAGAACTGGCGAACATTTCCTCAGGATGCATTGGACTCTCCCCGTGGGCTGTGAATGCGGCTCCGAATTTAAGGGGGGAAACCTAATTGTAACTTTCAAAAAATTTATTTTTTATTTTTTTTACCTAAAATGAGGTTCATATTCTTAGAAAATAAGTTAAGAATGTAAGAAAATTTTTTTTAATTTTAGTTAAAAATAAAAATTGCTACACGTCACGCAAGTCGAGAAAAAATATCAGGACCATCAGTGGTTACGACAGCATGTCTGCCTTATTTCTGGTTAAAATAAATCAAAAGAATTTATAAACATTGTTCAAAACACTAATAAAAAGATGCCTAAATGTAATTGAATTTTAATTTATATTTCCCCCCCAAAAATTTTTTTAAAAAATCCATAAAAATGAGCCACCTAATGTGGTTTCCCCTCTTGAGGACCTCAAACACCTCTTCGGCGAATGCCCGATTTTCTCACTGGGGAGGCTAAGATTGTTCTCGTTTTTGTCAACAAAAATCTCCAATATTAACCCAGACCACTTTGATCTGGATAATTTAGTGTACAACCCGAGCGATGAATTGCCCAAAGAAATTGTCCAGTTCTTCTCGAGGGGAAACATAATCATATAACTGTAATATCATTTGACTCCTTCTGGGGGATGTCTGAATGTTGTAGGGGAGGGGCGGGGGTGCTTGGTCTCTTCCGTGACTGACGCGGACTTGGTTGGGACTCGGTTTAATCAAGAGATAAGCAATTTATGGTTGCAAGTGTAAAGCAGGTGAAGCCTTGGTTGATATTGTAACGAAAGATATATAAAAAAATAAATAAAATTAAATTAATAAATAAATAAAAATAAAACTAAATAAAAAATAAACCAATACATTCACCCGCCTTAAGTTTCACGAGCAATCCTAATCATATTATAATAATAATCACAAAGTTAATAATCGATGAGTCGACTAACGACATGTTCAAATCCTAAAAGCCCGGCAGAGGGAAGCATTTGAATTTGAATCCTTTCCCGCCACTCCAACATTCAACTAAACCATAAACTATACTCACACAGAAGATGTGAAATCCCAGACACAACTGGAAATATATGCTTGAATCAACGAATAGCGGAACAATAGAACAACGGAATCTACAACATACGTACAAACTATATCACCGAATATTTTATGTACTGGCTATATGTAATATACACTTAATAACATATATATGCTGTCCTTCCAGTTTGGACAACTTTTTGAAAAGTGGTGTGCCTTCTATAAGAATTTTTTAAGTCTATGGCTTAAGTCTGTGGTTTAAGTCCATAGACTTAAAAAATTCTTATAGAAGGCACACCACTTTTCAAAAAGTTGTCCAAACCGGAAGAAAACGCGTTTGTGGCCGAGGAGACGGCTATATTTGATTTTCATTCTCGTTCTGGCCACAGTAGAGTGTACGTCACAATTGTGACATTTTAATTTAACGTTAAAAAAATTAATAGTTGTGTCGAACATGAGTCGTGGGTCGTTCCGAGGCAGACGGCGAATCGATGGTAAGTCCCCTTAATATTCAAATTAGCTGTTCCTCTGACCAGTCTCAAGTTAAATTGTCAAAACAGTAAAGTCGAGTTTTGTTTAGGCGGCTTGCCGCCGGCTAATGTTCACACTTATTGTTGTCTAAATAAAATAAATCAGTGTCAATTAGATTAACTAAGTTTTGTTCAGTGATCATCCTTACTTCCACCCTTTCAGCGGTCATGAATAATTTAATTAACAATTAATGAGCAGTCGGTGTAGTGTAAACATCTCGTGGTTTGGTCATTCCATGTCAAAATATCCTGGTACTATGGGCAAATCCATACTTTATGAATAATCGAACAAGCTAACAGGTTTTTTATTAATCTAATTTACCCTTGTGATTTCCAAAAAAAACTAAGTCAAAAATAATTATTAAAAGTTAGTTCAAAATTTAAAATTAAATTAAATAATAATCAAAAACCTGTTACAATGGTTACGATTCCGCAGCGGATGAACGTGCTTTCATTCGTCGGGCTTAACAAACCCGGAGTACCTAAATTTCAACGCCTGCTCTTAATGTTGTTGATTCGAATGGGGCTCACTAACTGCCGGGACATGTTTACTTGGTAAAGAGAATGGGTAATCCTAAAGCCACGGCGTGTAGTAAGAAGCCACTAAGTGGTACTTTATTTTTTTTCATTGGAACGCATTACACCTATTTAGATTGGGTATTATCGGAGTCAATGCGAATGCAACAAACTGCTTCTCTGTTTCGTCAGGCACAAATCTTCTTGCATTCTGGACATAGACTATCTTGTTGTGCTAGCATCCGTGGAGGGAATTTATTCCCTCTGCTAGGATCTTAAAAAAGGTCCTACAGGAGGCTCCGACCTCTTATTTAAGTAAGAGTATATGTATACCTAAGTAAAAGTATGGAACACATTTTGACATCAATGATATAGGTATTATGTTTTAGACTTCTTGATTGATATGGATTTTGAGATTTTAAATCAGTGTAATGAACCAACTTTTCTTACTGTTAACTGTGAATAGAAAATGTTAAATATCACGACCTGTTCTAAATCTGTGAGAGACTGGAGGGTGTCTCATGAACAGGGACTTTCACGAAAAATTCGTGTCGTGTCCGTGTCGTGCCTTGACACGACACAAAGAACGCTTAGTAATTCGTGTCGTGCCTTGACACGACACAACGTTCACACGACACAAATAACGCTTGCAAGATTCTAAAGTGTTTCATGCGTGTTCTTAAAACGTGTTTTGATACGACACGAATTACCAGGCGTACTTTGTGTCGTGTCAAGGCACGACACTGACACGACACGAATTTTCGTTTTTTTTCGCATCCGTGTAGGTCCCAGCTCATGAATATTCTCTTTTTGACCACAAACTCGTTATATTCAGAATAGAATCAAATGGAAAGGCATAGGCAAACAGAGAGAAAGCTTTCTAATAAAGGCAAGAAGCATAAAAATCAGCAAGCGTGGGATACATACAATGATGCTCGCAATTCTTGTAAGAAGAAGGTAAGAAGGCATGGGGCATCACCTGAACGAGTTTTTGCGAAAGAATTGAAGATGGTTAAGCTGTTTGCACATTTTTTGATATGTAGGGTACATTCCTTAATACCACAAGCAAAGCCATCAACAAGTCAGCCAGAAAACGAGGTATGCCTGAGCAGATGATGGAGTGGAATGGGCTGTAGCGTAAATGCGAAATATGGTGAGATAATACACCCTGATGCTTTAATGCCTTCCTTCCGGTTTTGACCGCGTTTTAAAAAGTCGTAACACATCTATAAAAATGTTGTTAGTTCGTGACGTATAAGTTCGTTCATACGTCACGGAGTAACTAAATTTTGATAGACATGTCACAACTTATTAAAACGGCGTCAAAACCGGAAGGAAGGCATTAAAGCATCAGGGTGTAATAAATAAAGTCGTAAATAAGGACACTCTATTGAGACTCTCTTGGACATTAAAGAAAGTGCACTTGAGATTGTCTAAAATTTGTGCAATCAAGCGGGACTAGTGAAAAAAATCTGAATCCACCCCAGTCAAAATTTAAGCCCTACTTTCACCCTGAATTTTCAGGGTCTGTTGAGTGTTAGGAGTAGTAAAGTAGGGTCTAATTCTAATACAATTAGATCCTACTTTGACTCCAAAAATAGGCGGAAATTTGCAAATCTTCCATTCGGAGAAACAAAGGAGGGTCTACTTCTAATAAACCTATACCGTACTGTCAAACCTCGTAGACCCTACTTTCATACTCCTAGACCCTACAATTAGAAAAAGAAAAATTTGAAGATTTGCTCAGATTCAAATAAAGCTCTTGGGATGAGTAAAAGTGGAATTTTATGTGTCAATTTATGTATCAATTTGGATTACTTTTTGCATTCGCAGTGTTTCAAGTAATGCATTAAAAAATAATTCAAAATTTTCTTTTAGAATGTAGGGTCTAGGAGTATGAAAGTAGGGACTACGAGGTTTATAAAATAAGGTATATTTTTTCGAATTAGACCCTACTTTACTTCTCCAAATGGAAGATTGGCAAATTTCCGCCTGTATTGGGAGTCAAAGTAGGGTCTAATTGTATTAAAATTAGACCCTACTTTACTACTCCTATCACTCAACAGACCCTAAAAATTCAGGGTGAAAGTAGGGCTTAAATTTCGACTCGGGTAGTGCATTGTCGCTTTCCAACTTTACGGAACTAGTCCGGAATTTATCCCATGATCTATCGTGACGAACGCTAGTAAGACGTGCACTCTGAAGAGATGATCTGCCTTCATTAAAACAGAACTAAACTCAAATATCGGGACGCTATCGATATTTTGTCGATATTCTTGCACTCTGAGACAAGAAATCATCTCCATGTCTTAGACGCATGTGTAAGAGTAGGACCTTTATACACCGGATGTGCAAAGCAGAAAGGAAGACTGGTTTCGCATTCTCTCGCAGTAGCACTTACAGAGAAACGCAAAAACCGGGAGTTCATGACGCAGAAAGTCCTACATTCAGGTGTACGATCCTTACTTCATCGATATTGCTCAACAATAAGTAGCACCTTGAGTAAACGTATTGAGGCATAGGGAGTGAGTTCATAACCTTCCTTCCCGAGGAGCTCCTCGAAGCATGGCAGGTCACGAAGACACGAACTAAATAGCTGAAAACGTTCAGCGCGATATAAAAGTCCGCTCTGTAGCCACACGAGTAGTGGGGACGAAGGCAGATGGCGCAAGTTTCGTGCGCTGTCGTTACTCTCTCTTTGCGTTCAAGTTGTACGCGACTGCGATAGCTGTGCTATATAGTGCATGTTATTGCTATATTAAGGCCAACGCAGAATAGATCTGTAACCGGAACCGCAATCGTAAGCGTAACCGTAAGAATGAGTTAAAGAAGGATAGGTATATTGTTTATCCTTCTCTAACTCATTCTTACGCTTACTCTTCTATGCATTGTCACACAAATCTTAATTTCGCGTTGGACCTTCTGCCGTAACATTCCATAATTACTAAAATCAGGATTTTCATTTATTGCAGTAGTCAACTTGTGCCTGTAAACAATAAATATTTGTAAATTACCTTAAACAAAAAAACTATGTTTATTCGAATCGCATTTCAGATGCAAATTAACAAATTAAACTTGCAACCTAAATGAAATTGAAGACTTTAAAATTTTTTAACTGTTTGTGAAATTTAAAAGAGTTAGTTAGGTATACCCTATAATTTCAAATATCCCACAAGCATGTCCAAGGAACATGAAAAGAATATTATCTCCATTTACTATGACAACAGCACAAACAAATCCAGTTAAATGACCATAAAGAAGTATCCAATAGTAGTATTTTTCTGAATCTACACCAAGCTCAAGAAGAAAAAGGAGCGGTTTAGGTTCGTCAGTATTTTTTATAAGCTTAATTGTCAGAGGAATTAAATGTGCCAATAAATAAATTATAAGATTTCCGAAGAATCCAACTGAAAAATAATAGTAATGAACAAACTGACAAATATTTTCTAATAAAACAAAACAAATTATATATTCAACTACAGAAACTCAAAAATTATTTGGAAAGTTTATAAATATTGAAATTAATATTTTAATAAAAAAATATTTACAAGCATAAATCATAGTATAAATTCTGCACTTTCTGCCATGTTTGTGTAAAATATCACTGTCACATTTTGATGTTAATGTACCCCAGTCATTTTGAATTTTCCCGATAATCACGTTTATCTACAATGAATTTGTATTTATTTTTATTACTCGTAGATAATTATAAAGGGGAAGAGTCCCTAAGGTCCATATTCAATCCCTAAAAATTTTTATTTAAATTATTAATATGCATTTCTCGGCAAATAAAAAGTAAATTTTTAATAGTTTTAGATAAAACGAACATTTTTAATCAAATTAACCCTTAAATAATAAAGAGTTTGTTAAAAAAAAATTGTCGAACATTTCGCTTGACACTTTGTGTTTGGGGGTTTTCGAGATCGATGATTACGAATCTGTTGTCAAATTTCAAAAATTAAAAATAGCGAATCTTGTAAAGCAGGCGAATTTATATAAAACTGTTAAACTTCTATGAAATGCCGACAATAACATTTGAATATTTTTAATCAAACTTTCAACAGAACAGACTATAGGCTTAGAGACTTTCCTTCTTATTATTGAAATAAAAGCATAATTATGCCAATGTTTAAAAATTGCTTTCCCTTAACATAATTTACTTTTATGTGTTCGTCTTCTTAATCAGACAAAATCAGAATAAAAAATCTAATCTGATTACTTGTTTTACTTGCAGATTTGTATTTGTATAAATAACTGCACCTATTGAAGCATAACAGGTGGGTGGAATGCATTCCAAAACCAAATCTATATTATCCTTTCGTTTTATCATTCCTGCAATCTAATTAAAAAGTTTTCTGTAATAATGTAAAAATAATTGTGAAATATAATATTACCTGAGCACAAATAAAAGAAAAAATTATACCAAACGTTAATGATTTAATTATAACTTTTATCATAATCGGTTGATTGCGACTTTGTCCTGACGAACTTACAAAATATCTAATAAGATTATAATCTGGATTCTTTAGCATCTCCATTTTCTCGTTGCTTAAACAATATTAACAAATACAGTGTAAGTTTTCGTTCCTTTCATGCATTCTCTATATTTTCGTAGAAGTCAAAAGCAAGCATTTAAATATTAACGTTGTCTTCAAATGTTTCCCACTAACTGTTGTATCTATCTATAATTGCGGTAATTATTATGTTTTCATATTCACAAGAAAGGTAGACAGTGTCTGCTATTATAATAATAACCGCTTGAAAAGCTTTATACTATACATGAAAAAGTATAATATAATCAATAAAATTGTACTGTAGTGACATAAAATTCAAAATATATAACTAAAGAATGGATTAGTATGCTTTCATATTTTGCAGCGCACCAATGCATTGATGAATGTCTTTAGTATCTTAGTTCTGAGACTACATTTAGATCGCTTTTCAAATGTCAAAAATTATTAGTATCTTTATGATATCAATATAAATTGTAGTAAAGATGTAAACTTGTTTTTGGATTTTTTTAAATTTAGTAAAGATTTTGAAGGTTGATTTTGTTCATAATCCACATTTATTTCAATTTAAAAATGTTAAGCTTTTCGTCTATCGAGGACAGACCTCTTCAGACACATTTCAGAAAACTGAAAAATATAAATTATTACTATGCACCTGATGGTCAAAATCTTATAACAAAAGTATGTAAAGAACAATTCATGTGTAACAGTAAAAAGATTTTTAAATATGAAAAACGAAAACAAATGTACATTTATTCTTACAGGTGGCTTTCATTTTTGGTATAGCGGGTGCGTGCAGAGGAGGTGAATTAATTTACGTAAAAGAAACGGTCATGGAAAATAGGGACAATTTATTATTTACTCACATTCCTAATACGAAAACCAACATTTCCTGTTTTTTATACGATCGATGGCCAATTTGTGGAAATAGTCATGAAATATGCTGCTCTGATTAAAAAAAAACTTTGGAAAAAGACTGGTTGGAATCTATAAAAAATTAAATTTACGAAATTTCACCAGCCAACGAAGTTGACGTGCGCATTATGTCACAGAATTCTCAAAATTTTTATCGGATTGCTTAGGTCTAGCGTTATCTAACTTACCGACGTTAAATCAGCTGACCTTCACGAGGCACGTTACAACTTCCTAAAAACTATTTCACGAATTATCAGTCGAGAAGAAATGACCAACCAGAATCTATTAAACATTAAGTATACTCACTAGAAGTATTTAGAAGATATCAACATTTACACAAAAGTAAATTGATAATTTGATTAAAAATGAAAAAATATATGGCACATCAACGCGAATGTAAAAAAGTAATTAATTTTGTCATAGATGATACAAAAGAAGAACCATGTTTTATTAGTTTTGGCTATGTTACTATGACAAATGTTTTCACTGGTTACGTTGCAACACTCATCGAACGTATTAAAAAACGTTTTCTAGATCGTGCCAGAATTTTAGGTGAAAATCAATTAAAAATTGTGACAGTTAATGAATTTCACACATGTTCCAGAAATTGTTTGAAATTCATTAAAAAATTAAAAACTCCACATAGATTTATTTGATGTAAAAATTGCAAAACTACATGAGAGAGTGATGTTAATAATGGAAGGAACATTCTAAATATAGGATTGATAGATGAAGAAACAATCCCTCTATATGGACCATTTGAGAATTGCACATTCAGATTTAATATTAATTGAAAAACAACTACATGATCGTGACATTTCCGGCCGAATTAATATTTTATCGTACATGATATTGAAGAACGTCATTAACAAAATATTTCTTTCTACAGGAAACTTATCTACAACATGTTTCTAAAAAAATGTAATGTTTTTAATTGGTCATAATTATATAATTTACTGTTAACTTTGACAGATCAACAATTTGTTAAATATTTATGTATAAAATTATGTCCTTTTTCATTTCATTCAAATAATTTTATTCCTTTTAAAACAATTTATTAAAAACGCCTGAAAAAACCACCTTTTTATGTGGTTGTCCAGTTGATAAAATTAAATGTGGATTAAGAAATAATATATTCTACAATGTTGATACTCATACGGTAATTATTACTGACATTATTTTACATTTTTTTAAAATTACAATTTAAAATAATATTCAATTTGTCTAAGACGACTTTCATATTCATTCACTTTGCAATTCATCTTTCGTCTAAAAATCCAATACTTCTTTGTAACATTAATAAATTTTAACCCTGTTCTTATAACGTCGTTACTCAAAATTTATAATTATAAATAAATATGTTACAATAACTTATTTCTTTACAATACATCATTATAATTGTATAATCCAAAATTAGTTGATTGAATGGAACATAAATATTTTGTATTTCATTCTTTCGAAGATTTATTATTATTTATAAAACTTTCTCACAATTGAAGTAATTGATTTCATTGAGCTTCGTTAAGTCGAAAAAATAATTAATTATTCTAAGGTCATTTTAAGATACATACTATCTATTTGATAAGTATTATTTACAAATCGATATAACTAACTTATATACAAAATTTAACGTCGTCAAGTAGATAACAGATTTTTTATAGAAACAAACTTTTCTCTGATCACACTCTTAATCTGAATAACATTAAATCATTATATGAGATTTTTCTTAACCTTTCATATTTTTTCCAAAAAATATTTATATTTCAAATGGCCTTACAGATGAAAAGCAATTTTACATCAGTTTGAAATATTTTTTTTACAATTCATGTTTCTTTACAGATATATAGAAATACAGAGAATTCTGCGAGAAAATCTAAGGAGAATATTTACAAATGAAATCTCATAATCTGATAGTAACATGTTCTTAAGATGTTAAATTTTTCCTTTTAAAAAACCATTTTGTTGAATATTTACATTCTGCAGTGTAGTAAGTCTTATTTTTAATAATTTTTGCTAAGCTGCACAAAAATTCAACACTTATTTTATTTTGCATTATTTCAAAATTCTTTAATTTTATACATTTTATTAGAATATTTGACAATATTTACAAGTTCTTAAAACTAGCAATCTCAAATGTACAATTTATTTATATTTTACAATCAGTTGAAAAGCATTCCGACAGACTTTTTCTCAATATTTACAGCAAAAACAATTTAATACTGATAGAACTATATTAAAATTTTGCATTTAACAGGAATGGTTAGAAGAAATTTTTCCAATAATCCTTAGATTGTTTATAAACAAACTGATCCATTAATTACTTTGGGTTACAAAAAAATTATTACAAATTTGCATTGAAACTAATGAGATTTATAGTCCCAATGATATTTTAAATAGTCTAATACTGTGAGTGTGCATTTTAATAAATAATTCCCTCACAGCACCGGGATATTCAGGATATCCCAGAGACGTCCTGGGGATATCGATTTGTTTTCGGAAGTTTGGATATCTCTGGGATATCCTAGGGACGTCCATGGATATCCAGAGGATAATCCAGGGATATCCAAACTTCCGAAAACAAATCGATATCCCCAGGACGTCTCTGGGATATCCTGAATATCCCGGTGCTGTGAGGGTTTGATTTTTATAGTAAGTCTTTAACGTCCGAGTTGTTTTTAATAGTAAGAAAGAAAAACGAAGATAATTTGATTTTTAATATACTATTTTTAGAATTTTGCATGAAGCGAAACTTATAAGGTCCACATTCCGCGACAGACAGGACAATACTGATAATACATACAATTATGTACTTAATTAAAACGCTTATAGAATATAAATAATTAAAAATTGTAAGTATCACTATTTGCTATGTAGTAATATTTCGTATTTTATAGTAATTCATGGATCAGTTACTTATTTTCAAATAAAATTATTAATTGTAACTCCAACTACGACAAAACTGTTAACAAAGTAACAAGAGCCAATTGAACACTGTATTTTTTCGTAAATAGAAAAAATAAATTATTTGATGCTATTGAGGGTCCCGAAATATCTAATCGAAATCCACCTCCAAGACCACCGCTTATTCTTTCTCTGGCATTATTTGTTGCCTGGTCATTAGGCGACCCTCGAAGTTGAAGTCCTGCAAGAAAAAACACTTTACCATCACTTTGCATAAATCACTTTACAAAGTCTAAAATTGAGTGAATTTTTGTTATAAATCACTTTAATACTCAAGAACAGGAGATTCTTGGAGCCAACTTTTAGTACAGAATGAAAAAGTTTCACTAGAAAAGTTTAAGTAAGTTTAGGTAACCCGACGCGCCACTACATGGTGCAAATCCAAAGATCTCGTAACAACATACATACTTGACAATCAAGACCACCAAGACCTACTATCAATATAATTTTCCTTTATAGCATCTCCTGAATATATATATATTTTTTTTAAATACGAAGTTTCAAGTACTGTCAAACCTTAAAATTAAAATTTTAAAGTTACTTAATTATTTTTATATTCGATTAATTCAGTTAACATTATTAAGATATAATGTAAAACGGTCCTTAAATTATGACTTTTTAATATAATGTAAGAACTACTTATTTTTTATAGGATCTGTCGAGAAAAGTTGAATAACAGTTGTGAAAAGGTATTTAGAAACTTTTACGAAACTTTTAATTAAATTTCAAGGAGTTAGATTATATCGGTCACTATTCAGTTATATGCGAAGAGACGATTTCTAAAAAGTTTTCTATAGAAGAGGAGTTATTTATTGAAAAGTTTTAAAAACACCATATTCTGAGTAAGATGTAATTATTTATGTTTGTGTGTATATACATTTTTTTAAAAACAAATTTACCAATTCTTTCTATGCTCTTTATAATGAATGACTATTAAAAGTTCGTTAAATAACATCTTGATAACAGAAGTCTTTTCTTAAAATAAGTTGATGTTTATGAATATTCTTCCTTATTATGAAATACTAATAAAACTCTAAAACTTTTATTTTATCAGAAAAACGTTAGCTATGATTTAGAGAAGAGGTACAATCATTAAAGAGGCGGTAATTAATCCTTTGAAAGAAGGAGGGCAACAATGCGTTGGGAGTACCATAGATCATCGTGGACAGGGAGAGACGAGGAAGTACAAGAAGCGTTACAAGTCAAGTTAGCTGCATTTCTGTCTTTAGTAATGCTTCTGCTAATGAGATTACTTGCTGCAATAGAGATCGAGATGAATCTATAAGGCTACTGGAGGAGGAAGCAGCTTGCATTCAAAAAATGAAGGAAGAGATCAGCAAAAATGCTGAAGTTCTGTGAAGTCCAGAAAAATGTCAATATGACAGACAAGAATGGACTAAAAATCATAACGTCGCTCATATAGAAAGTCAAGGAGAAGCACGCATCTGCAAAAAAAATAGACGAGAAGTTCTACCAACAATTGGCGTGGTCAGAGGAATCAAGGCAATATCGAAGAGTTAGACGTTACTGTTTTAACGCTGTAATGTTAAGAAATGTAGTCTTTGAAGGTCAGAAGTGGAAGAGAAGCAGTCCTGAGTTGAATAAAAACTCAAAGAAGAAGGATGAAGGACCTCCAAAAAAGGCCAAGGACCAAACCAAGAAGGATTATCAAATTTGGAGGTTCTTCTGATAAGGAGACGTTCGCCAAGGAGATGACAAGGGTAATTGGTGACCTGAGTAAGGTACAGATTGTGGACCGGCCAACTACATTTGAGATCCGCGATCTGGATTATCTTACAGAGCCAGCACATATTCAGTATAGGCTCTGGACAGGGTTTCGGAAATGCCAATAGGAAGCAGAAAAATAACGGTCATGGAACCTAATAAGCGAGGTGTAAAAATTGCTATTGTAGTAACCACATAGCAAGACGCAGATAAGCTGGAACATCTCGGTCACATAAGAGTTGGTTTTTGTCTTGTCCAGTGAGGAAGAGAATTATATGGTCATGAGTTGCCATAAATTACTTAATTACAGCCGTATAGGGACAGAATGTAAATCGGTCGATAGGTCAGCTGCGTAATTCAAGTGCGGAGAAGCCGACAATAAGATAGCAGATTGTAAGAAGAGCCCATGCTGCTTCTTATGCGAAGAGAAGTTCAACGGGAAGGAGAAAACTAACCACCTCACAGGGTCAGGAATCTGCAAAGTCTTCAGAACTGCCTTAAAGAAAGTAGAGAAGACTTTGTCCAGGACGCGGATAAAATAGGGCCAGAACAAGAACGGCACGGCAGGGTCGCGCAAGCAACAAAAAGGTATAGTCTTGCATGAATCAATTTGTAGCAAATTGGTTTTCTATAGAAGATTTAAATTTTTTATAACCTTTCCAATTGAAGTTAGTCGGTTGTAAAGTTTATGTTAACAACCCTTGCAAAGCGCAAAAAAAGAACTGTCGATTAAACAGTTTTGAAGTTAAGGATAAAAGATTTATCGGTAAATTGTTTGATATTTCAAATTATTTTAGTAGTCGACAATACTTTGATTTTTCAATAATTAAAGTACAAATACTTTAGAATAAAGATATCTTGATCGTCTAAATTGTGAGCCTGTTACTTAAAAAATCGTCATATTAGCTTAACTTTAAGAACGAATGCTAACCTGACTAGTTTGTTTTTAGGAGATTTTAATTGCATTTATCTTAAAAAAATTATATTTAAAAAAATATTCATTGACTAAAAATTATAGTTTCATTTTAGTTTAATATAGTATCTGAGTTATAATTGTCTCTAAATTATGTTGCAATCTAATGATAAACTTAGATACCTCGATCTCTGCTCTTCGCTACAGCTTGCAACTCGGCAACTTCATTCGAACTTGGTAAAACTGTAGGTATTGGCTTTTGTCTCATTCTTTGCTTCCTTTCTGCTAAAATGAAAATTTTACATCATATTAATTTAATTTTAGGATTAATTTAAGATTTACAATTAATATGAAATTTTCTCACTTCTAGTGACGACTTTTGGAGCTGTTGTTGTAGTTGTAGTAGTGGTAGTTGTAGTTGTAGTAGTCGTCGTTGTTGTTGACTGTGTAGTCGGTAATGGCGAATCTGCAAAGCAAAAATTTACTTAGATTTTTAAATTAAAAAATATATAATTAAAATAATTTTAAAAGTGTTTAAGTTGCTGAGTTCTTAATGACTTTAGGGCAACATTTAAAAGACTATTTTAGGATGTCTTTAGGATATTTCTAGAACGACTTTTATCCATTTTCCCAGGAACGTTCCCAAAAGGATATCTTAACAACACTATTATTATTATATTTGTAAAGTAAAATCAGTTAATTATATTTAAAATAATTTTTCCTCGTTGTTATCAATTACATGTTAGCTGTGAATTTCCAAACGAATGATGATTTCAGTTATCTCAAAAGTACCTCATGTAAACGAAAAATATAACCATCAAATTGTAATTTACCAAGTGGCGATTTATGACTACATTTCTACTTCTATCTCGTCTCTTCTTATCAGGCAACTATACTTAACTTCACATTCAGGATATTTTTCCTCAACTGAAGGAAATCGATATTTTCAAATAAAAAACTCAGACTTACTCACTCTTGGCTTATCTCACTTTCTTGGTTTGGTTAAGAAGACGAATTAATCAACGTAAAGTGGTTATAAAGTGGAAAGAAAGTCAATTTAAGTATCTGTTTAGAAATATACTGTAACATTAATTTACTCTCTCACCAGGGAATGATAGGAGAATTTAATATTACTTATTTTTGATATAATTGTTCCCTGAGTCACAATTGTTCGAAGAAACTAATAACTTCTAGAATAGAATATAAAAAAGATTTTATTGTCTTAATTTATAGGAAACTAGCCGTAATATTATAAATAGGAAGAACTACAATGAATAAACTTTTTCCAAAAATTTTAAGTTAGGAATAAATTAATTAAAAGATAAAAAAATCTTCTAGAAGGCGGACAGAAACTTAAATGAAAATTAAAAGAATACCCAATGGGCTAGATTTCTTAAACATCTACTAAGAACGTCCTAAAATGTCCAGGATAATTTTATATCTATTTAGAACATGAAAAAGACGTCTACAAGCGGTTCGTAGATCGTTCTACGTCAGATTAAGAATTATCTTTCAAATTTCTCTAAAACACTGTTTTGCAAACTGACAAACTTTTATATTGGAAACGATAAACTCAGAATTATTGATTTTTTAAGTGCATTTCTTGCCAAAAGCAAATTTTTAATCTTTGTAGCCATGAAATGTACCTTTGAATATTTAAAATAATTAATTATAAAATTCTTTATTTTACTGTAAAAAATTATAGTAAAATGTAACTGGAAATTTTCGAAGAAAACGTAGGCCAAATTTTGAAATTCCAAAAAGTCAATAAACAACGTAAAAGAAGGTGCCAAGAAACTGTCAGAGAAAAATTGAGAGGAAAGTTGTTACTTACGATAGAGCTTGATGGCTCCATCCGTAAACCCCAGTGGGTTCTTGGAAACACATTTGTATGTTTGAAAGTCTTCCATATTCACTTCTTTTATTGTAAGCTTCATGGTTATATTGTATGCATTGTCCATCAGAAGAGGTTCGTATTTGTCACCTAAAAAAATTTATAAATATTATTTTCTCAAACAAATAATAAATTTTTTAAAAATAATATCGAAACATAGATTAAAAATATTGAAACAGTGTTTGAATAGTCTAAAATCATTTCTTAAAAAAATCAGAACCAGCGTAAATCAAATCATATTTTTAAGTAAATTTTGAACCATTATTTTCAACTTGATTTTATCTAATAGTAATATACTTTAGCCACATATCGAGTAAAGATTCTTTCGTATACCTTCCTATACTTTATGCTATCAATAAACCAAGCATCATGAAAGGAAAAATTGTTTTAAATCATACTTCCAATGCAAAATAAAATAGTTCATTTATTCTACAAAAAAGAAAAATAAACGGATTTTTACGTCTCCTAAATATTTCTCTCGCAAATACTTCTTTATATTTCTTAAACATGAAACTAAATTTAGAATTAATTTTGCATCTCTGAATTTGACGTAGAGGCAAGAGGAAATTGTTTTCACAGCGGGAACATTGAAAAACAAGCAGTCAAAGTATTAGGTCATAGTTTTTTCTGATATTTATTGTCAAACGTTAGGAAATTATCTCGCACAAAAAAAAGGGTAGATGAAAGTCAGAGTATTGGTTCAAAAGTTTTTTCCTCAGTAAAGGAATAAACGTATTTATGTAAAGTACGAAAAGACAGGCACGCAGAAGCTTTTTTTTCTTCAAAGTTAAAAGCCAAAGTTCGATCCTCACAAAGAAATGAAAAAAAAAATCTCGAAAATAAAATTCCTCAATATCGTCGTCGGTTTCTTGTGCTGCATACGCGAACGTATATTTTCTGCTTGATAGAGTAGAAAATTAGGGTTCTTCGCATGATTACGAGAAATCGACTTCAGTTGGGGATGTACAGTTTTTAAAAAGAAAAAAATTCCTTTCTTTTTTTTGGGAAAAAATTAAATAAATATGTTCCTCTGATTTACCTCAAAGAGAAATATTTCACATTGAAACTCTTTTTATTTATTGATCATTAACAAAGTATTTTTTATTCTTCGATAAAGGGAAAATATTTTTTTCCACTATACCAGAAATATTTTAAATGGATTCAATGTTTAAATATTTTTTATTTTTTGATGAAAGTAGCTCAGAAATTCACCTGAACAGTTTTTATTTTGTCTTTTATTTTTCGGGATGTAATATAGGGAAGATTTAAAAAGACACACACACACACAAATAAATAAAGGAATGAGTAAAGGAGAGGATCGTAGATTTATTGATGTAATGATCCACAGTGAAGGTGGTAAAAGTATTTTTGTGTGACGAGAAAAAGTTATTGGTAGGAGATGCATTTATGGAGTGGTTGTGCGACCTCATGCCAGTGGGTAGAAGAAAAACTTTCATCGGCTCTAAGTTTGAAAACCAAATGAAAAAGTTGAACTACGTCAAACTGCAATCTAACAGTTGCTATCATAGAAATGTGTTTGTGAAAATTCAGTGGACAATACAGGTTAGTATGAGTTTCGTGAATAAAAAACAGTTTGAAATTCCATTATTTTTCATTGTCATGCAAATCGAAACTCTCAGTAAAGTTGAAAAATAATATAAACACATACTGTATAATTCACAATTACTTAACATAAAATATACATTTTCAATTATTGTGATTAAATGTTTCTATTATTATATTTTACTAGCAATAAACTATTGTACTAAACATGTATTAAATTTATAATCCATTTAATTTAAGTGTTTTGAACTCTGATGCAATATCTGATTTCCGTCATACGAGTTGTAAACGCATAAAGCAGGTAAACAAAAGCTCTGGATATAAACCTAGAGGGTTTTGGTTTATAGCTGTTAAACATGGTGTAGCAGTCAGTCTTGACAATCAGATGTCATTAAACTTTTACATGCAGGGGGGTTTACAACCAGATTGTTGAAGTAAATCAAGGTTGAAATTGGTCGTCGGCGGTTGTTTGAAAGTAGAAGACTACGCGGAGTAGGAGACGACGTTAATGGCATCAGTAAGTAGCTTACAACACGCTACATCTACCTATATAGATGCAGTCAAAGTACTACAAAATTACCTACACATTTTTCAAATTCTTGTTTTTACTCAAAATTTTACACCTTAAAAATACATCTATAAAACACTTAAAAGATGAAACAATCTTTTGAAATTTTCCTTTTTAAAGTAAACAAAACTTTAGTACTTGTACAGTGTAAATAAAACTTTTATTTAATGTGCATAAAAATATTTTTTATTATCTCCTTCAGAATTAAAGCAAAATTCATAATAAAAAGAGAAATATTTTTAATATTTCTGTAATTTAAAAATAACAACAGAAAAAAATAGAGGCAATTATTTTCTTTTTTTGCAAAAAAAATTTTGTAATTTACTTTTCTATTTTTTTCGAAAAAGAGGAATATAGAGAACAGAATGGTAAAAGAATTGGTGTGAAAAGCTGTGCAAAACTGTTCAACACGTAGTGGAAATTCGTTATTACAATGCAAGTGTAATTTGAAATAACTTTTGATAAAGTAGTGAATATGTGCACATGTACGTTATCGGTATGAAAACTGGAACAGATGTTGTAGGCCACGCACGCCAAATGGTATTAGATCCTATACGCAGAATGCTGAATGGTGAAACAGTGATAACACTTTAGGTCATTTTATCTTTTATGGATGTCAATCCTGACAGCCATACTTTGATTAGTAAAGTTTTTTTATTTTACTGATATTCTCATAACCAACTATAAATTAAAGCTCTAGTTTAATAAAATAGATTTTATGAAAAATTGTAGAAATTCTTCTGCAATGAAAAATAGATTAAAAATTCTATAACTATTATTTCTCTAGCTATTTCGAAATATTCAACTGAAAATGTAATATAAACTGTGATCCAGAAGGCCCCGTTAAACTCCCTTTTCTCCAAATCGTATAAATTAAGAGTATACGGAGGCCTATAATATACATTGTTATTTTGTGAGGTCCGTTCAACTAGTAGGGTGATGTGAAACATGGGGGGATGTGCAACACCGCCAATTTCTGATCTACAGTTCGATATTGAACAGAGCCAAGTATTGCCATTTGTTTGTGTCCTCAGTAGCTTGTTTTTTATATAAAACTCACGAGACAGCTCGCAGCTAGATTTGCTGTACGTAAGTTGACTTAAATTTCTCGAGAAGGAAATATTTCTCGCGCTTTACATTTCTAGTCGTTTCGTGAAGGGTTTTAATTTATTTTATAGATAAGAATGTGTTCATTGTTGGTTTTTTAAGTGTTTTTAAATATCTGTTTATATTTTGTGTTTCCATTGCATTGTATTGCGTACAAATCATTTTTCGCAAAATATCATATTTGGGGTGATGTGCAACACTTTTTTTGGGGTGGGCGTAACTACATTTTACGTGCCATAACTCCGATTCACATAATGAATAAAAAATTCTTAGTTATTTTCCTTTAATTTTATTCCTTATTCAGTTATGAATAAATAAAAAATTAAACAAAAAATTTTTTTTTTCTTTGGTGAAATATTCACTTTTTAGAGGTCAACTATATCTTAATAAATTTTTTTTGGCAGATTTCGATTAGTTTGCATTGAAAAAGCTTAAAATTAATAATTAAAGAAATTTTCATCGACATTTATGCATTACATACCTGAATTTTACTGGTGTTGCACATAACCCCAACTTTTTTGGAAAATGCAAAAACAGACGTTTTTGAAAAAGCGAAAAATTTGTAGGATAAATTTAAAATTCTGAAAATCTAATAATGCAGAAATATTCTATTATAATGCCTCTAAGTCATTCAATTTTGAAATATTTAAAAATTTTATTATTTGACATGTTTTTTGTTCAACGAAAAAAAACGTTGCACATCACCCCACATCACCCTACCTCCACAATCAAATTTCCAATAATATACTATTCTAAAAAGGGCTCTTTTACATTTTCAGAAAAATAAAATTTTGTGTTAGTGCCTCCACTAAACATAATACAAGAATTTAGAAAAAATGTGAAATGTTTGCAAATTCGAAATCATCGACTCCAAAAACCCCCGAGCAGCAATTTTTAAACAAATCCATTTATTGTCTTTAAACTTGTCCGCCATATTAGATCCGCCATTTTGAAGTTCTAAAATCTGATTTCAGAATCGAAATGCTTCTCTAATTATTATTTTCCCTCAACAGAAATTAGAACAATACGCAGCGTAAATTATTTCATTGTATTAAATCAGCGAGGCAAAAAGTACACGCATTTCTTAGAGCAGTGAACGGTTCTAGGTTAACCTAATTAACTAAGCGATTAGCAGTTTCATAATCAGAAGTTCTTATTATATCTGAAACGTAGCTTCCAACAGTTAGTCGCTTTCATGGGTGGGAGATTCATTATTCGGCTCGTTTACCACGTGAATCGTATAAGGGATTTGTTCATTTGAACACGTTTGTCTACTTTGTTGGAAAATCTAATGGTGCTCAAGTCTAAATTTTATGTGACGGAACAATTAAGCAGTGTTATTAACTTTAAATATGAGTAATTGAAATTATTAACAATAATAATATCTTCTGTAATAAGCTGATAATTTTACTTTTATAAATTATTCCATAATAGTACACAAGTATAATTAGAAACACTTGGGTAAAATTAATTTCAGAACTTAGGTCAATTAATATTTATTTCGTTCACAAGAGGGTTGCAAATCTGAAAATAAGTGATAAAATCCAAAGAAAAGAGTAATATTTACCATTTGAAATAATTTCATTGTTTTCCTTCATCCAGTAGTTGATTGACTTAGGATAAGCTTCAGATAAACACTCAAGGGTAATTTGTTGACCAATTTCAACACCAACTAGCTGATTTTGTATCCAAATCATTGGCGGAACTGGAAATTTGTTAATAGTTTATAAAATATTCATTGTAAAGTGGTTTATGTACTGTATGTAGTTCAATCAGAGTGGAATAGAATACAATACATACAATGAACAGCGAGCATTATTCGCTTGCTGACTGTAGGAGGTATACCATTAGATGCAATGCAGAGGTATGGACCCATGTGTAATCGATTAACTTTCGTTATGTTGAATACAGGACCTTCGACGTGCGCTACTGTAAAAAATATATTATCGTAAATTAAAGGATTTTCACTTGAGCCACTGGGACAGTTAGCTTGATTTAAATCTAAAGTATCTAAAACGACCTAGGAACCGGTATTATACCTTACTTATCTCTTTAAGCTTTGGAACAGGGATCAAGTTTAAAATCAAATATCCATTTATAGTAGTTGATATAATCTTCTTTTGTAATAATTTACGAAGCTCCTTTCAGTTAGAAATATTTAAAGATTAATCTTTAATTGTTAAAGGTAAGATTTTTAGTTTAAGTAACTTTTAATATTAATATCTAATAATAAATAATTATATTGTGAAGTTATTTTACGTTTGACGCCACAATAGCACCAATACGAAAACATTTTTTTTTTTTTTTTTTGTAGTAGAGTTTTGGCGTGTTATCGATTTTTTAGTGTAAAGTAAATTAGTCTTCTGGTAATTCTCCTGCACTTGACAAAAAGTCTAAATTAATCTTTGGTGCTCCATATTAAGGAATTTTGATAAATTAGTTTTAGTAAGCTTTGTCAAACGTTACAGATTGTTTGAACATTTGAGAATATTTATTCATTTGAAAAACATACGGACAAAGCCATTTCGTACAAAGTACTAAATAAAAGGTGTAATATACAAAATTAAACAGCTGCGTACGGACAATTAAATTCACGATTTTAATTAATTTAGATAAAAGGTGCAAGTTAGATTTTTTTCAATTTTGTCACAGGCAGTAATATAAATATACTTAAAGTAGATGCTCGCTTTTTTGAGGTGAGCTGCGAGCCCTGAGCAAGGGGCTCTAATTTCGTACATGAAAAGCCAGCAGCCTGCCTAAAATTCTTTCAGTGTACAACATTAGTTTATAAGTAAATTTTACAAAAATGTGTTCAATTGACTGTTCTTTTGTTACTAATAATGAAGTGTTAAGCAAAGAATCACAGGCTACAAACATTTCTCCACCCTGTAAGCGCACATTAGAACTGCTATTCTTATCACAACGAAAAATGTCAATTCAAAAACCCAAGTTCAGCAAAGTTGAAACATAAGTTTAGCCAGGTTTCAGTAAAAATAAAAATTTTAAAGACAACAAATGGTAATGATAAACAAAATTCAGAAAGTTTGCTTCTCAATCCTCTCATATTCTGATAATAAATGAAAAACACATGTGAGTCAGCTATTGAAGAACCTTGCGCTGAGTGAGAAGGGATGACACGACACATGATAGACCATCTGAACCATGTGATGGGTCCTCACCAATATTGCAATCTACAAAACTTGTTGACTTTGTGTATTAGATTTCACCTTCTTGCGTTGAGTGTGCGTAACAATTACTGATAAGCCGTGACGAAAGTCGATGCGCGCGTTTATTTCTCCAGCTTGTTGACACGTTTCCAAAATCCCTCTCAAAATTGGTATTTCCTCCAATTGTGCCTTTATCAAATCTTAGAAAAGACGCAGGTTTTGCAGAAGAGGACGATCAAGATCGTTCCTTTTCGCATCCAAGAAAGATTTGTCAAGCGCACCTGCATTTTCTACTGAGTTGTAAACAATTTTTACAGGTCGTGGATGTTTCTGATTCTGAGTAAATATACCAAGTATAAATATATTAGAATTTTGAAATAGTACAGAAGAAAAAAATTTGGAAAAAAGTTGTTTGATTTCATAATCAAAAAGATTAGTTTCAGAATGATTATTTAAGGTGTTTAAATTATCGATAAGACCAAAAAGAATAAGGTTACGAGAACGAGGCAAACGATCCTGAATTTCAGTCATGCAATCGCGAGCTAATGTTTGTACATTTGACTTTTCTAGAGTACCTTCAATAGGAGAAATTCTTTTGGAGTGGTTAATTACAGTTTCTCTAATATCGTCAACATTTTCAGAAACATTCTTCACTTAAAGGAAACTCCCAGGTTTTTTCTTTTCTTCCTCTTTTCCTAATCTTTTCTTTCACTTATTTTTACGATCTTCTCCGTAGGATCGAAATATAATCTTTTCCTATTTTCTTTATTTCACGATCCTTTCTCAGGATCGGAAATTAACCTTTCTTTTTTTCCTTCATCTTTCTCGATCCTCTCCGCAGGATTGGAAATTCTTTAACCTTTTGAAAAACTCCTTTTCATTCTCTTATTTCACGATCCTCTCGCAGGATTGGAAATTAACCTTTCTTTCTTATTTCTTCCTTCTTCTATTTTCTCGATCCTCTCCGTAGGATCAAAAATCAATTTTTTTAAAGGATAAAATAAATCGAAGATTCCTTCAACATCTCAGAAGAATACAAATTCTGGATAACAATTTAGGCGTCCCACGTTGGAATTTCCTTTTATGTGATGAATGATCTAATGAGATTTTTCCTGGAAGAAGTCGTGGAGTATTTTTCGGCGTTTAGAAGAAATAAATTTTATTTTACGTAATTTTATTTATTTTTTATTTATAATAAAGAACAATTATTTTGCTTAAGGGGTTACACCACTGTAGACATTAAAAAAAAATTTTTATTTTTTTATTAGCTTAAAAAATTTTTTGAACCTTCTAGAATAAGGAAAAAAAGGATTTATACATGTCTGAAATCGATTTCATTGAAATTTCAAGCTTTTTTACCGGAGAAGAATTTTAACTTACATAAAACATGCATTACAAAAATGGCTCCAGTGCGGACATTTTGGAATATTTATTAATTAAAATTTGTAATTTTTAAGTTGTATATATAAGTTAATAACTACTTAAAATATTGTTACTGTATTTCCTTTCCTTACACTAAAAAAAATTATTGAACAAATGCTTCTTACAGCCCGCTGTAGTAGTGTTGCTCTTTTAACGCGTTTTTCTCAAAACACAGTTTTTGAAATCTGCAAGCAGTATAACTCAAACAATTTTCAATATTTTCAATCGGGTTTTTTATTACATTTCTAAAATTAAATTTTGAACAGAAATACGTAGGGGTTTTTTGATAAGTTAATTTACACAATTGTTATAAACAATTAAGTGTCGTTTTTTTTGGTCGAAAAATGAGTTTTTTCTTCAAATGCTTGCCAATTACACAAAAATCAATATTTTTAAAATCCCCTACGTATTTCTGTAGCTATTCTCATGTAGATTAAGAAAAAAAATTTATTTGTTTCTAGACTGAAATTTACATTACTTATACTGCTTGCCGTAGAGCTCCTGGGAAAAAATATGCATTACTAAAATGGTTCCTGTGCCGCCATTTTGGAATATTTATTAATAAAAATTTGTAATTTTTTACTTGAATATACAGTCAATAACTTCCTAAAACATTATAACTATATGTCATTTCCTTCCATTCAAAAAAAATTCCTGAAAAAACGTTGTTTTTGAGGCATTTACAGTGGTGTAACCCCTTAATAAAATTCTTTGCGTATGTTTATCGAGTGAAGAGAATACAATTCGAACGTGTTGCTCTGATCACGGGTGAACAAAGAATGATTGCTGAAGTGTTTTCGTTTTAACACGAAACAATTTTTCTCATGCCATGACAACGCGATGCTTTTTGGTTATTCAATCTTCTAACTTTGCTCTTTAATGTCCAAATTGATTTTTTTTCTTTTGAATGATAAAAAAGAAATAATATTTAATTTGATTAATTTTTAATTAATTGATTATTTAATTAAATTAAAAAAAATAAAGCATAGCAAACATTCATTAGTTTGTGACGTAGAGATTAATCTATTAATCTCATCGGGAAATTCTTCCAAGACGATGTCGTGATGCAAACCGGTCAACTGAACAACGAACAACCAAACGAACTTTTCAAACACGACCGTTGATACGCTACCAATATTCTCTACTTTTTGGCACTCTTCTCCAGTCCGCAATAAACGCAAAACACATTACAACACAAATTAATAAACAATAACTATTTATTAATAAAACTCAGAACTCGAAATAATTAACAACTACAAAATTAATAAATCATATTCTTAAACTATAACTCTCGATTCTGACACTCGTCAAAACAGCGTCACGACTTCTCGGAAACCCGCAAGTAAGTGTCGAACCATCTGATTGTCCCCAAAAGGCTTTCCCGCTATCAAAATCGTTTCCTTGTTTTTCCTTCGCAATTTTCGGAAGAACCCTTCTTCTTATCTCCACGGAACGGCACCTGAAAGAAACCTGGAAAGGGTCGCTGACCATGTGACGTACGCTGACAATTAATCATGCGCAAAATCATTTAAATTCTGATTTCACGAAAACCACAGCTCCTCACACGCTGATACGAAAGAAATACGCAAGAGACTTGACAACAAACGAGACAGACCTTTGATAAGAAAAAGACAAACAAACGATTCTCTAAACTCTGAAAATACTTTTCCTACCCATTGCAAATTAGGCCGAGTAAGTTACGAAACAGTTCGTTACAAGTTATCACGGAACCTCTCCTGCACTTATTTTCATAAATGTACCATTTAAAATTTAGATTGGGCTTCTCTTCTGCCAAATGTAATCCGTATTTCGCCAATGAAATATTAGGATAATTTTTTAACAAATTTATCGTCAATAGTTTAACCTTATGTCTTCTTTATGTCTTCTTTATTGTTTATACGTCTCCTGCTCTATTGGCCTTACGCACTTCGACAAGAGTCCCCGAGAAATACTTTTTGGATTAAGCATAACCATTCTACTTATGAAATTTTCTATATGGGTGATTCTCCAAAAACCGGTCACTTTTAAGTTGATAAAATTTTTTTTTAATGTTTAAAAATTGAACTTTCTTTTATTAATTACTGTTCATTGGTATTTAAATAAACTATATTTGAAGTAGGTACGCTACAAAACTATTTAAAGTTTAAAAATAATATTAAAATTATTTAAATTTCACCAGGATCATTTTGAATTTTTTCACGTCGCTCTTTTTCGACATTTGCTTTTTTCTGTTTATTTAATTATTCTTTTATGTTAGACAATCCATATCAACTATATTTATTTTAAATTACATTTATTAATAAACATTAGTTTTCGTGTAATTAGCACTTTTCGCGTAAT